AACTCCCCCCAGTTTATGTACTGAGCATGACGTCACATGGTATGGAATGTCCCTTTGGCCAGTTTGGGTCAGCTGTCCTGGCTGTGCCCCCTCCCAGCTTCTTGTGCACCTCCAGCCTTCTCAGTCGGCAGAGCATGGGAAGCTGAAAAGTCCTTGACTAGTGTAAGCACTGCTCAGCAACAACTAAAACATCGGTGTGTTATCAATGTTATTCTCATCCTAAATCCAAAACACAGCACTGTACCAGCTACTAGGAAGGAAATTAACTCTATCCCAGCTGAAACCAAGACATGGACCCATTTCTGTGTTCTCTGATGTAAGTCCAGTGAAAGACAAGCAGAATTTAGCCTATGTTTTAAAAGCCAGTAGCTGCAGGAGAAAAATAAACTGATTAATAAGTCTAAAAAGCCAAGACCCTGCCCTCTGAATGTTACTGGAAATCATGCAGTTAGCACTTGTTTTAAATCTGATCTTATTTAAGGTGTTGCCATCAGTTTCAGAAGATCTGGATTCAGATTCGTCATGTTCCACAGACTCCCTTGGCTGGTCACTATTGAACTTAGGGGCATTTAGGCCATGTAAAAGGGGCATTAATCTTACAGGATGAGTATTCAGTCTTTTCTGAAAATCGGGCCCTCTAATACAGATTTAATTGGGCAGTCAAAAATATTGGCAATATAACATCACAATTTAACCCTTTATTTTGAATCCTGAGTCTCATCTAGGAACAGAAGAATTGGAAAATATGGTATCAAGGTGTATGCATTATTTTTATTATTAAAACCCTAACTGATAATGAAAATCCCTATTCTTAAGCCAGTTGGAGTTCTAAGATGTAGGAGAATTAGAACGTATAGACCTCAAGAGGAGATATTTTTATGGTTTGGAAATTGTTTCCTTCTAATGGAAAAATCTAATTTTCCCTCCACTATTGTAGGGTGAAGATGAATCTGTCATACTTACCTGCATGATACTGAAATTGGTGAAAGGGGAATGAGCTTGCAGGCAATTAGATGAACTATGTGGAGAACCACTTTACAGCATTTGCTAGGCCAATCTGACAGCTTTAGCAGCCCTCATTTTTTAATGAGCACTTACATCTACCGATGTTATAAAAAAATTATGAGTCATAATGGGTCCGTTGCATTGTATTAGCTAAAATTTGATCAAGCATTGGTAGATCAAAGTGCAACTAATTGGGAGTGCTAGAAGACTGTTAATACTAACATTAGTATTTCTTTATTTTTCCATGTGGTTTCCAAACAAGGGGTGAATAAAAGGAGTATACCAAAGACCTTTGCATCCTTGAGCTGCAGGTTTTTCCCATGTTAGCTGTTACAGAGGGGAGAAAGTTGAAATAAACTACATTAGAAACCACGTAGGGAAGCAAAATTTCACAGGAAATTTTATGTCTTTATATCTGCCATTTCACTTTGAACAAATCTGTGAGGTTCAGTGGCTGCATGGGAGTGTGCCAGTGGCCAGAAATAGTGAGAGGAGCTAGAGAACAGCTGCACTAAAGAATATTTCTCCCTCCTACAAAGACTAAATTTGATGTCAAAAGGCATCTGATGAATAGAAACAGAAAGGAGTAGCTGTGGCGTTTCATAGTTTTGGCTATCTTGTGATGCTGTCTGGTTGCTGCTGCAGCAGTTACGCTTACTGATAAGCAGAGGCAGTATGGCAATGAACTGACTTTGCTATTGTTGCTGAGGCATTGACCATGAAAAAGGGTACAAATGAAGAGTTCCCATTCATCACAGGGGCTGCTGTAGGGGTGATAGGATTCTTAATGAGTCCTGATTTCTGAGCATTGTCAGGCATCACGGAAAAGGACAGTGCAGCCCAGCTAGTACACTTTCAAACTGCTGTGACTTGGGCTGCTTTTGTACATGCTCTGATGCAGAGTAGAAATGCAGGTTCACAGATAATTTAAAAGGCTCTCCTAAAAACCTGCAAATTCTGGCAGTAGCTTATCAATGCTGTTTCCCATCCCATCTCTTTCCAGATATTGTGTGATAAACTGGAACAGTTTTCTCCTGAGGCGTTGTATTGACATAACAGAAGAGCTTGTCAGGGAAGAGCATTTCTCAGGTACAGTGCACTGAAGTTCCTCAGATGCTGACTGGCTCCATTTTAGTTGGAACTGGATAAACATAAATGAATTCCACATCTGTTTTGGCATTTTGACCTTGGAGGTAGCAGGGCCAGCAGTCTTCCTCCAGGATGAAATGTGGATCTGCCGCAGCTGGAAGAAGGAAGGGTAGAATTGCTGGGTACTTAAGAATGTTGTATCTGGTGCCTCATGCCTAAAGGCTGACAGATTAATCTTGTTCGTCAGTGACTGTTTACTCTTTCTGTACCATCCCAAATGAGGCGTGCACATACATGTGCATGCATTCAGCAACACAAGGAGAAAATGATGGAAAATACTAGAGATACACAAGATCCATTGATTGTCTCCAAGAAAAACCTTGGCTTCATATGCATGCATGCTAGCTTTTCCACTTAGTGACCTAATCCTTTAATTTCACTTAAAAAGTGAGGTGTAGGGAGGAGAAATTCTAACCTGCTGGATGGCCAGAAGCCAGACGTCTAAACTGTCAGCTTGCAATCCTCCCCTTTGTAGAAGAGATATTGCAGAAATACTGTTTGCTGTGTGAATAGGAATAGGATGCCAGAATATGTGCAGCACTACATGCATAACTACAGTAATTTGTGTATGTGCATGCTAATAATTAGCACTGAGGTTCACAGATTTAAAGCACTGTTTTAAAGAACCTGTACTTGATGGGGATTTTTAATTTTCTGCCTTGAGTACCTGCCATGCGCCCAGCATTACTCTTTCAATGAATCACTGTTTTTGATGGAAGCACATTTAGATGAAGACTTTCTGAGCTTCCAAAGGCCCACTTCCTTCTGAATCAGAACCCTTTTTCCCCGTGCCTCCTATGTTAGTATGTTAGTTCCTAACTCTGCAGTGCTCCATGGATCTGCTAGCAATCAAGCCAAGTCTAGTGCATGGCCAAGGGTCTGAGCAGAACTAGGTAAGGCCACGGGGGCTGTGCTCCCTGGCCCTCACCTCCTACTTATCTGGTGGACTTTGTGCAGAGCTGGTAGGGAACATGCTGCTCTCCTGAAGTTTCAGCATAGTTCTGCCTCAACTCTGCGACCCTTCTGTATGCAGAGGCACAATGGAGATCGCTTCTTTTTGCCTAGAGAGCAGCTGAGTAACGAAAAATTAGGAAGTCCTGGTGGTGGTGTTTATCCCCATGCAGTTATTCCTTTTCCTTTCATGGAACAAGGTTGCTGTAATAGCATTTTTCTTTGCAGGCGGAATTGGAAATACAGAAATAAATTATGGAGAACCAGGGTGTCTCCTGTCAGAATAAATATTTAATGAGAAACAAGGGTTGTGCTCATTCAGAGTCACAAGGACTGATACTGAAGTACCATATGTACGTTAATTTTAATGTATAAAATACATGCTTGGACTTAAAAATGCAGACTGAACAGCCTTAAGGGCAAGTGTGTATTAAGTCTGTGACAACTGTCTCTGTGAGTGATGGTAATGTAAAAGTTTCTTTTTTTCCAACCATTTTAATTTACCCACCAATCACTCAGGACAGAGGAATCTTATGCCCGAAGTACTTACTCTCCAGAGCAATTCTTGGAGACATGTTCTTTCACGTTGTATCCAGACTGTGTTCACTCTAACCAGCCTCTAAAGTACATCAGCTTTTTCTAACTCTTCCTAGCTCAGATTAAAAAAATCTGAATGATACACTGGTTTTCTTAGTATTAGAACAACATACAGAATTTGTGCAAAACGTGTCTGTGAGTGTGTACAGTCATGCTAATTAACATGAGTTAACTGGTGACTGTTACAAGTTACTTGCAACTTACAAGTTATTTTCAAGTTAAAACGGGAATGAAAGGCATGATCTCAGAGTTTGCAGCTCATCTTTCCAAGGACATGGGATGTTGAGGTGGACTTGGGCTTTGTAAAGAGTTCCGGAACAATTACTTGTTCCTTTAGGCAACATGAGAGAGAGAATAAATCCCGGTCTTATTTTCCTTATGGCTCACAACTCTTAAATAATTGGTCGATCTATCACAGTATCCAGGATGTCCCATGCCCGTGTCACTTGTCATCTAAACTGTGGGGTCCCTTCCCTGCTAGCTCACTTTGATCTCTCCTCATTCTGTTCCTCCATCTCACCAAAAGCCTGTGCCTTTCTCTTCATAAGCCTCTGCCAAATATCTCTGAACCTTTGTTTACCTGTTTTGAGGGTTTCCTACTTGCCTGAAGGTAATTTGAAATAATTCCCTGTTCAAACTTCTATTTGGAATACCGATTAATTTTCCAAAGCGCAGTCATTAAGGCTATAATATCTAATGGTTGTTTTGTAAATGTCCTCAGACTGGAGAGAGATACGTAATTGGGGCCTCTAAAGTGTATGACTAACTCACTATGCATTGATGCATTCAGTGGTTTATCCAGTCCATAACATGGAGGTATAAATAGACTCTCAAGTCGTTGCATAACAGTAGAATTGCCTACAATTTAGCATAGAGGACACTGGCAGTCTCCCAGTACGGCCGCTAATGCATTTTGTGAACTTGGATGATCTCTGCCTCATTTTTTTAATTTCTAAAATGGAAATAGTAGTATTTGTCTAGCTAACATGCACAGTGGAAAAACTTTTTTAAAATGCTTTCCAATTCACAGGTAAAATGATTGGGAGACAGAAACATATTTAAATTATTACTGAAGAAAAATCTCAGGTCTTTTACATGAAAGGAGATCTTCATGCGTTTAAAATAAAACCAAGGGAGCAGACATACTACATTAAAACAGTAGTTACAGACTTAGCTCACAGCAGACTGTTAAGGACAAAAGTTACCATTATTTCTATGTCTAGGTCTCCCTTCATATTCTTCTGTTCAGATAAGAACTGTAATACAATCTGTTCTCTTTCATTGTTTGGTTTATGCAGGCACAGGCTTGCTGCAGGAAGTGGTATATCTAGTGAGTCAGGGAGCTGATCCAGATGAGATTGGACTAATGAATATAGATGAACAACTTCCAGTCCTAGAGTACCCTCAGCCTGGTCTGGACATCATCAAGGTACAATTTATTGTAAAGAAAGTCTTTCAGCATTTGGGTATCTTTTTCCTCGGTTCCATATTTATCACTTCGTTTCATCCTGTGTCCTTGTCCTTTTCATCACTGGACTTGCTCAGTTTGTTGGAATGACTCAGAGTATTATTAGGTTATTTTAAAATTGCTTTTATTAAGCTTTATTATACTCTGTTTAATGCTTTAGATGTTTCTCCGTGTCCTAAATATCTTGGCAGTGGGTTTTCTGATTAAAAGTTCCAGGCCTCTCTTGCTTATGTAAACAGAAGCTGCCCAAATGGGGCAAATTTGCTTTGAGCCCTTCCCTGAACTTGCGAAAGAGGAACTACAAATACAGAGATCTATGGATCTGTAGATCCACTGCTCTGAATTTACACATCTAAATCCTTAGAGACCCAGGATCTGTGGATCTACGGACTCTGTAGGTGTAGTTTGAGGATTTTGGAATATTCTGCATGAAATGACTTCCACACTATTAAAAACACTCAGAGACTAGCGGCGTGGCATATGAGTGTGATCTTGTCATTGCTGTAACTACTTCTGATATAGGCATATCTTGTAAGGCAAAATACTGGGCTCCATCCTATAACAGCTACAGTGCTTGTTGAATTGAGCTAGCTAAGGCTGGCACAGATAGATTTGAGCTGCTTCTGGTCAATGACAACTGCAGCATCAGCCTACTTTAGGCTGAGAGTATTCAGGGATCAGAGGTTGCTTTTCTTTTTCATCTGTGTCCAATGAGACCTCAGTGCTACCTTGATTCAAATAAGCGGTGGCAATAGTGAGAGGTTTAGTTTGAGATTACACATTGTTACCTATTCTATGTGCTAGCAACTTGATCCAGTATGGATTTATGCAGTTTTTAACTAGTGGAAGATCATTTGTGTTATAAGACAATTTTGTCTCAAATTATAGAAAAATACTCTGTTTGAAAGAAGTTCACACACTCAGATAGACCTTTGGATTGTCTGGGCCTAATTCTGAGCATAAAATAAGTTGCAAGAGTAAAATTTTGAAGTGAAGAAGTTAGGGGTAGGGTTTTCAGAGCTTCTGATCTATTTCAAGGAATTTTAGTGGAAGCATCACTGGAAACAAAGTTAGTTTGATACTAAGAATCTTCAACTATTACACTCTCTTCCTGAGAAGGTCCTACAAATGGAAGTACTTTGAAAACAAAAGGGGAAAAAAAACCAACAAAAATCCCCAACACATTATCCAGACTTTTGATATTTAAAAACAGATGTAACTCCCTGACGTAATTTCTAGACCCAGACCCCTATTAATTTCAGAAGTGAATTTGTGAATGTGACTCAGTATAGTAAAGGGCTTCAAGTATGACAGTTCAGGACAGCTCAGGATGTGCCAAAAACTAATGCACAATAAGAAATGTTTCTGTCTGCTTTATTTTAGGAACTGACATCTCCTCGCCTCATAAAAAGCCACCTACCATACCGGTTTTTGCCTTCGGACCTCCATAATGGCAATTCAAAGGTAAAAATGAAATGAAATCATGTTTGTTTAACTATATTGGCAGCAGTTGTTTAAGTGCTTTGGGAAACGGGGTGGGGAAAAAGCTTTCAATAAGACGATTTTTTTCCCCCCTCCCGTCATAGGTAATATACATGGCTCGCAACCCCAAAGACCTGGTGGTGTCTTATTACCAGTTTCACCGCTCCCTAAGGACCATGAGCTACAGAGGAACGTTTCAAGAGTTCTGCAGAAGGTTTATGAATGACAAGCGTAAGGAGCTGTTCTCTCTGCACACGCTGTTACACATTTATTTTCATCTCTGCATTCCTTCTGCGAGTACAGAAATGAACTGGATAAAGGTGCATTTGTTTTGCATATACAGCAAGGAGGTTGCTACAGATAGTGCTGCGTGGACTTAGATTTGTCCATGAAAACTATGGCCATGCCTTGTAAATAATTGCCTTACAATATTTGACCTCATGGGCTCAGCAGTGTTCCACTTAGCTCAGGCAAAACTCTGGTCTAGTCTTCTAAAATTCAGTTTGCAAGGTACCAGGTACCTTGTGAAAAGTGGTAAATACTCCCAGCATCATCTGATTTCAGTTGTACCTCACTGTTAGCTACTTCTCAGGAGCCTTTCTGATCCTCAAGGGCTTTTTTTTCCTGGTAATTCCTTTAATATTTTTATTTCATCCGAAAACTCAAGGTTTGTCCCTCGCAAGATACCTGTTGACACACAAAAATCTCTAGTTTGCATGAGACTGATCTAGAGTACATCAGTAAGTTGAAGTGAGCCCCTGTTGCCGGCTGCTACTGTCAGAAAAATACACCTCTAATGAGAATACAGTAACCTGCTTTACAACTCATCAGCTGCTCACTCAGTAATTCCTTTGAGCGGGGGCTGTTTCATGACACACCCACCCACTGTGTTCCCACTCAGGCTGCGCTGCCTTAAGTAGCCCTATTACACTAGCTCAGTAAACTTACAGGGAGGACAAGCCCTACGTTCTCACATAACTGGCTGCCACTTGGCTTTTTGCCATTGGCTTGCCACGCTTTCTAGCTAGAAAGAGAAAAATTTTTTACTGCCTTCTATTTCTCTACAAAATCTTCTCTATGATACCTTAACGTGCCACTAAGAATTCACCAGGTACCTTGTGCTCTGAGAGCAGGATCTCCTCTAGATCCAGTGCAGCAAACTTTCCTTCAACCTGGAATTTGGAGGAGTTGATGCTAAAGGAGCTGTATAATACTAAAGGGAAGAAAAAAAGTAAAAGCCTACCAGTGGAGGTTATTTAACAGGCCTTAAAAACCTTTGCTACTTTCTCCTGCAAGTTTGTGTAGGGAAGGTAAATTCTCTCCTTCTGTTCTAGCCCACCTTCAGCTTTTTCTTTTGCATTCCCTGAGAATGGGATGTTTGTCTGTAGCCTGCGATCAGGAACTTCTAGACTGGAGACATAAGAAAGACACATTAGAAGGTCTTCTAAGATAGAAGGAAGGTTCTGTAGTCTTTGTCATATAAGTATCCCAAGAGTTATTTATATCTTCGTCTTGTAGCAGCTAGCTGATTTATCACAACCTCCCAGAGTCAATAAAACATTACAGCATTTTCTGGGTCCATAATTGTCCAAGTGGAGTGTTTTGTAATACAGTAAATTTAGCATTTAGCTAAATGTTTGCATCTCGTGGAAGCAATGCAGCAGGAAAAAAACCTTCGCAAGAAGTCCAAGTACTGCTAGAGGGAGAAGCACTGAGTCCAAATGACACAATCCCACTCTTTTTACCCCCCCTTATACCTGACCATCTTGAAACAAATTCAGTGCATGTTAGCTCTATTGTTTGAAAGCATACAGTTGGATAGGGATTAGTCTTGAATGTGCTAATTCTTTGGCATTATCCTCTAAAGCTTAAGGGATTTTCTTACATAAAGCACAGATAAACTCTGCTAACATAATCTTAATGGATTCTTGCCCTGCACCATTAAGAGCAGCTAGGAACACTTTTTGCTTGACTGATGTGGTAGTTTCATGTGTGAATTTCTTTAGGGGTGTATGGAATGGAAATAACAAAAATGGAATTTTTCCAATACCTTTATAAAAATTGAAAATGAGTCAGCTGATTCAAATAACTTTCCTATGAAACTGACCTCTTTGTCCATTGAAAATGTTCCAGTTAACAAAATTAAACAATTCTTTTTCAAAGGGAAAAGGTGGCTTCAAAATACAAAACTAAAAAGTTTCATAATTTTCTATAGCTGCTTTGCTGAAAAGATAAAATTGACCAAAAAAATATTGGGAAAGAATGTGAAAAACTGCTCACCATATTTGCTTAACTCCTGCCTTGATTACCTGAAGTACTTTGGGGGAACTTATCACGGGTAGCAAAAAGAAATACGCAGAATGCATTTCTCTTTGGGTTGTCTTTCTGGTAATATTGGCAGCAAAAGATATTCTCTAGATAATAAATACCAGTGTCTGAACCTCTGCTAGACACACATAAATTGACTGAAATCAGTGGAAGTGTGGACTTTATCAGAGAAGTGAAAAACAAAGGAGGAAAGTTTGGGGGGGAGGGTTGAGACTTCCAGTAACCGCTGCATCAGCAGCGTTGGGAGCGCAGGCCCTCCCAGCGCAGCACCTCAGCTTCTCTTCAAGTCCTAAAGCCCACGCAGCAGACGTGGGGAACTGAAGACAAGCTGCTGGTGGCATGCAGGAGGTAGGAGGCATAAGCTTTTCATCATTGGCAACCCTGCACGCTGGGCCAGCTCACAACTTGTGATAAATGGGCAGTACCCCATCACATCACTCTAAGCTTTCGGGACCACTCAACCCCTCATGGGCATCTGGTTGTAGTCTGGATTTATTGTGTAATTGAGGTAACTGATAACAGTGTAAGTGAAGCTGTGTTCTGGCCTATCTACAGAAGTTGCGTGGAAGTGTTCAGAAAATAACAATAGAAGAGAATAGGTCTTAGATTTTAGCGGGGGGGCAAGAGATGTAATGATAAATAGAATATTCTGTCAGTACATCCTATGTTTTTGGGAATGACCGTGAAGCATTTTTATAGGTCTGTTTCCTCAATACTTGTTTAATTAAGAAAGGACAGTGGTTGTTAGCAATTATTTGTCCGTAATAGAGGATGCTCTATGGAACTTCCCGTGAATGCTGTATCTAGCTTCTAAGTGAAGGAAGCTGCAGTGTGATACATTCTTGTGTGATGCAGGAATTCACACAGATTGGAGCCACTGGAAATTTGCCTTCTGCAAAGCTATCTGTGTAATTTTCATTTTGGCTCAATTTCCGTTCAATAGTCAGGCGTTATTAATACTGAGCTCCAAGAGGTCCGTCATGAAATACGGTGGCTTTTCAGTTGAACATTTTATCTTTATGGTAAGTTAGTTCTTTTGAATATTCCAAGCTGATAAAAAACCTCTTTTTTAATTAAGTTCCTTGCTGTGCATGACAATGGGTCAAAACCAGACACTGTTCTCCTGGGGCTACAAACCACTCCAGTTAATTTGTTTTTCTCCTTTTGTTTTCCTTTTTGAAAAGGGCTTAGTAACAAAAGTGTTCATTTTCCTCATGCCAATCATAATGTCTTTCTAGTAGGATATGGTTCGTGGTTTGAACACGTGCAAGAGTTTTGGGAACATCACATGGATGCCAATGTACTTTTTCTCAAGTATGAAGATATGCATAAGGTAGGTTAGATGTAGCAAAAAGGCTTGCTAATTACATTTAGCATCGTAATGTTTAAAATACCTAAAGTACAAAATTTGCTTCTTATGTCCATATTTGGGCTCCCTAATGTCTGATACCATTTTTAAAGCATGGGCATTCGATAGCTTCTATGGGCTTTCAGCACTTTCATAAACCTAGTAATTTACTCAGGAATCTGCCTGCATCCACAGGCACTAAACTACTCACAGAGAAGGCAGAGATGGGTAACTGTTCAGTGCTTGCTACACTCAGCCCTGGGCATTCATTTGAAAGAAATGTCTTGCTGTGTGTGCTGTATCAATGAGAAAAAAAAGTGTATCATCATCAGTGTTTTGCCCTATATATTTGGCATTTATTCTGATTATTTGGTTGTTCTTACTGTCTTCTGTGAAACAATGTTGAAAACAATTGGGGATGATTGTGTAGCATAAGGTGAACATAATTATTGGGTCCTTAAAGTACACTGGCTAGTAATTCCACTTCGTTTTTAATCAGAAATTTAGTGGAAATACTACATAGAAGATTGGTTTCCATTTCCTATTGCAATAATGTATTTCTGAGAATTAATGAAAATACTTCAAAATGTTTATTTGACTGGAAAATTAATGCAAACATAGGAAACACCCAGTTCCTATCTCTAAACCTACAAAAATGCAAAATCAGGGTAGAACTCAATAAAGCTGAGTAAATTATAATTTCAGCTTTACGGAGCCTTCTGATGGAGTGGGATGCTAAAAGAAGATGTAATACAATCAATCAGAATAATTTAAAAAGTTTAGTAGAAGTTATTTCAAACCCATGGTTTTGAATAATGATATATTCCTAGCTGTGCTCACTGATGGATGCTGCCAAAAGCTGGTGGCCTCACAGTGTCTTTCTGCTTCCGGATAAACGTTGCTGTTTTGCCCTTGCAATTCCAGAAGTCTCACTCGTACTGAGGAACCCTGGAGTTCTGGATACGTAAATGAAGGACTGCTTATTCTCAGAGGCCACCTCACTAGATCCTTTCCATCTACATGAATGCAGTCCCAGAAGCTAACAATGAAGGAAGGGCTGTTCTAACATTTGTAGTCATTTATTTTACCAAGATCAAAATCAAAGTAACTTTTAATTCCTCCAAAATACAGTCGTATTCCAAAGTGATCCGTTAAGGGTGTGATGTTGTCTGAAGTGGGAAGCATCACAGTTACTTTGCAGTTCCCTGTTCTAATATTTGAAGAGGCGAGCTTACATGACCGCGTTCTCTGCCGACTTGTCTTACCCTAATTACTTGGAATGTGTTTATTTTCAGCAAATTGGAAGGGGGCAAAATTTTAAGAGAGTGGTGTTTCTACAACTTCTGCATTTGTATTTTTCACACTCATCAGGATATAACTTACTTTGAAATATTTAAATATTTGTTTTGAAATATTTAATAATTAATTTAAATTTAATATTTATTTTGAAATATTTAAAAATATAAAAATATATTAAAAGTATATTTTTAAATACTCTCTTACAGGACCTAGCAACAATGGTGGAGCAACTGGTGAGGTTCTTAGGAGTTTCTTATGACAAAGCACAGTTGGAATCCATGGTGGAACACTGCCATCAACTCATTGATCAGTGCTGTAATGCAGAAGCGCTTCCCGTTGGCAGGGGTATGTTTAAAACCCACAGTGAAACTCTTATTGTGGAAGTTGCAAGAAGCAACTGACAACTTCGTAACCTCCAGGATGTGTTAAGATGTTGGCAAAATATTGCTATGTAAATGATGGGAGGAAACTGACTGTTGGTGCAATTTTGGGGTTTGTTTGTTTTGAAATAAAGTTAGGTAGAATTGACTAAAAAGGATGGAAACGTCCAAGATCAACAGTGTGTATTCAACACCACGCAAACTGCTCTGTTAGTCTTTGGCTTACTTCAACGGATTGAGCTATTCATGGTGAGAAGGCTGCACTGCTCCTTCTGACCTTTGGCCTGTCAAAGCCCACACAATTTCATACAGTTTGTCCTGGCCTAAGCCCTTGTGTTTAAGTATATCAGATTTTCTAAAATAGCAGATGATACTAATTTGAAGGCATCAAATAACAAGGAGCTGTAAGTTTTCCTTACGAGCTTTTTCTTTTCCTTGTCTGCCTCAGCTGTTTAAAATGTGTTTAGCTTCTAGATGTTTATGCTGGTGAGGTCTTTCTCTAGGAACCTGAAGTGCCCTTTAAACTGCTGATACATCTGTTCTTTGATAATGCCAAGAAATCAAGTTCTTTCTCAGTCTTCCTTCTGATAAGCGTAAGAGTGACCTCAGTAAGTCTCCCTCAAACTATTTTCTGTAGGCTGCTTTACAGCACTTAACAGTCCTTTTTAAAAATGAGGGCATAAGATCAAAAAGGAGAATTTCTGTCAGCCTCACAAATGCCTTATCCAGACATAAAATCACTTTATCCACTGATTTAATCCAGTTTTAACTGGAACTTTCTCTCCCCGTCTCCCTTGTTTGTGCATCCATGGCCACATCAGCACTTTTTCCTACAGCATCATACATGAAGCATGTGTCGTTTATCGTGACCACAAAGTCTTTTCAGAGGAACTAGTTTGCGGGTTCTTGCCCCTTACTCAGGGAGCGTGACCTGAATACGTTATCCTTAGGTTTCTGCGTAGGAGCCCTTTCCACACCACCTCTCTCAGCCAACCTTCTTGTTATCTGCAGATTTTATCAGCTGTAATTTTTATAATTATTTTCAAATCTCTGATAAAAATACTGAATATTGTCAGTCCTTCTTGACTACTAATTTTGAGTTAGCCAGTTGTTTATTCATTTATCATGCATTTTGGTGACTTTATATAGTTCTATTAAAAAACACTAAAATCACATGCCTTACAAAAGTCTATTGTATCTTTGCATTCACCTTTAATCAAACTGTAATCTTACCAACACTCAGTCGCATTTGTTTTGAGAGCAAGTTTGCTTTCCCATGAAAGCAGGTTCACTGGTATTCTACCTTTGCGTCTTTCTTGGCAGAGCCGTATACCGGTTTTCCATTACTCAGCTCAGGCTATCGTCAGAGTAACTGACCCAGGATAACTTGTCCCGTTTGTATGTTGGCACAAACATTTCAGAATGTCATACTTGGAAAAAAGCCATTGCTCACACCTCCTTGCTTTTATCTGTGACTTTGCACACCTGGTATGGAAAGGCTTTTAGTGCGTTATGTAGGGGCCATACACTCCAGTTATTACAGTAGGACTGGAAACCAGATTCCTGTGGGCAGTTCTCTGTCGTAACTGTGATATGGCACCTCTTTTTGCCCCAGTTCACTTATGTTATGGTAAATGATGACTTCTTGACATAAATATCTCAAGTTTGCTGGCTTGAGGTAAAATTCCGGTGAAGACAAAGGAGTTCGTAGTTTCACTGAAAGACCTAATATATTCCCTATAGTTTCTGGTAGAGTCTCCACTGAATGGTGTGTTTTCCTGCTTTTAGTTACCTTGCTTTCAACTCCCATCCTACCCTCCCCTTACTACTTCAAACTGAAAATTCGGCATGTAATACAACTTGCATCTTGTGTGAGAACAACAGACCATCTCATTTGCAGTAGGATTTTACGGCATGTTGCCTAACTGATTACCAACCCACTTCTCTGCTATGAAGACAAGATCGCAAAATAGTGAGTCTGGTAAGACATCCTGAGGGCCTTGATTAAAGTGTTCTATGTCAGCGCAAGATTTTACAAACAACAGAGCCACGTTCTCCTCCGTTGACTTGCATGAAGTAACACAAAACCCTAGGTTTGTTCCTAACCTCCACGATCCGGAGATCTGTGGAGCAGCAGCACTGCTACACGCCATGCACAGCCCAAATCCCCCCTCCTTGTCCAGTGAAAGCCAGCAAGGCAGTTGTGAAAGAAAGGTGATTTCTCTTGTAATACAAGAGGAATGAGAACAGAGCTGCTGGTGAGACCTTCCGCAGGCAGAAAGGTCAAACACTGTCTCTGCTGGCCAGTTCATCTCCATCGAGATAAACGGGGCGATGCCCACTCTTGCTGCATGCACCGTTCTGTACGTGGTGTTAGTGTTCATTGCTCTGCAGTGGAGCCCACAAACCCCCAGTCAAGGGTCAGAGCCTCTTATTTATACCATCTACAGATCTTTCAAAAAGAAGCCTCCATTTTGTAATAGAGAAGGAAGGGAGCTACAGCAGTTAATGTATTATTTTGTCATTTGTTCACTCTGTGCTTTTTATTAAAAATATCTTTATTTTGAATTTCTTTTGTTCGCTGTCTGAGGCTTTTACAGTATTTTGTTACTTCAGAATGCAGCATCATTAACAGTGCTTTGTTCCTTCTCTGTTCGTTTCTGTGACAAAGAATGGTGGCGATAACATGACAGCTTATTGTAATTTGTTTCAAATATTTTTAATTTGTCATTAGTTACATTTACTTTATTTTGCTTTATTTTAGTTCTTCATTTTTTTTTCTTTTAGCACATTGATCTTTACTCTGAAGATAACCCTGAGCTGCTGTGAAAGCAGAACAATGATTAGATATGTTACTTATATTTGACTCTTATCACATCATAATTTACACAGTTGCATGATTCAAATCATAAACCAGGTGGGTGACTTTTTGACAAGCTATCAATTCATATGGTAAAAAAAAAAGATGTTACAAATAATCCACTCTGTATGTCCTTTGTAAAACTTGTCATTTGTCCACACATGTTGTTAGGGAGATTCAGAAATTAAAGACTTATCTTCCCCAAGCAGAGGAAGAAACTGTTTTATTATCATTATTGAAAGGCAAATACAGGCTTTTATGTTTCATGCTGTACTTTACGCAATTATAGTTGCCGGGGCAAAACTGAAATCGGTATCAGATGTTTATGATTGCAAGCGTTTTCTTAAGGTTTTTTTTGATGCAGGAGAAATTTGGTGAAAACAATAAATGATGCATTTTCAGTCAGTTTCAGGTTCTTTTGATCTTTGGATCCTGAAAACAAACCAGAACACTGTCATACCTTCAGGAGTTACAGGAAAATCCTGATTTCATAAAACGGCCCTTGCCACACATACTACACCATCACGTTAATATGTAATTTGTAGATGTTTCAGACAGTTTTGTCTTTGGACTCAATTATAGAGTTGCTGCGTAAAAGCAATGGTAATTAAATTAAATGGGTATTCTTCTTATGCATCAAGTGCATAATTAAGCTCCCTGCATGTAGTTTTGTTCTTGCTGTTATGATTAAGCTCTCTGGTTGCAGAGTCCCAATTCTTTCATTTATTCCAGTTGAACAAGCCTGGATTTTGTCTTTATTTATATCCAATATAAATGAGAAGAGAATTGGGCCTCTCAGTCTGGTTACTCCATGGGGCTTATTCACCAACAAGTAACCCTGACTGACTTTGAGTTAAATAAATTTTGGACTGCGGTGAAACAGTGCAGCCTTTGACTGGTGGGTTCAGCAGTGTCATCAGGTTATGTTACTAGTTGGGTTCAGTAGAGTAGAAGAATACTCCATACAAGGAAAAAGCGTTCAGTGTCCATACTGCATCCACCAAAAGCTTCCTATTCCTCATGTACAAAATTAAAATTTAAATGGCACAAACTGGGTGCATGGCACTTGTTCTCTTCTGTAGATATAATCTAGGCACTCGTATTTAACAAATCTCTCCATATTGAGAAATGTAAATTCATCTGTTGAACTTAATCTTTAAACATAAAATAATAATTAGTAATGATAATGTTACAGCAATCATCAGAATTCAATAATCAGTTTAATACTCCGCATTCCATGTACCTTTTGGATAGTTCTCTAACCAGTGTGTGCTGAAGGCACAGTAATTTTGAAATTCATTGTTGTTAGCTGTTGGAATTATTAAACAGCCATAGTTTGCACTGAAACCAGAAACCCACTTTTAAATGAGTACCCAAACCAAAATCTGTATTCATTTCTGATTAAGGCTAGAGCAAAATCTCACAAAAATCTGGATTCTTCCTGTATAATACTCACCTGGTGCCGATGACAAGGTGTACGGTACTTATTTTACGGCTTTGCAAGGGTTGTAGCAAGGGAACTGGGTAAGACAACGAACAGCCTTAGGTCTCGCTGAGCTTTCAGTGAAAGCTGAGACTGATTAGCATCTCACAGATGATACTTGGTGCCCTGCACAAGTAGACTGTAGATACTTGGTGTCCTGTTATGTCCGCTCTCTGACTTGTATTCCTTCTCTGTGTTTCAGGACGAGTTGGGCTATGGAAAGACATCTTCACTGTTTCAATGAATGAGAAATTTGATTTAGTTTATAAACAGAAGATGGGAAAATGTGACCTCACATTTGATTTTTATTTATAAAAAATGCATGCATATGATATCCAAATATAGCTAGAAGTGCTTTATGCATTCATTTATTACCTGCTGGACAAACTACTGCAGCTATTATGTGTAACAAGATTTAAAGAAAGAAAAACAATCTAAGTAAATCATATCAGATACAATTATCTTTGATCCTAAACAGCTGTTTATTCTAGTATTGAGTTGGGCTATGGAAAGACATCTTCACTGTTTCAATGAATGAGAAATTTGATTTAGTTTATAAACAGAAGATGGGAAAATGTGACCTCACATTTGATTTTTATTTATAAAAAATGCATGCATATGATATCCAAATATAGCTAGAAGTGCTTTATGCATTCATTTATTACCTGCTGGACAAACTACTGCAGCTATTATGTGTAACAAGATTTAAAGAAAGAAAAACAATCTAAGTAAATCATATCAGATACAATTATCTTTGATCCTAAACAGCTGTTTATCTTCTAGTATTTTAATCCTTTGTCCACATGCAAGAACTTCCTAGACAATACTAGAATACTCAGCTGTTATGGAATGTATTATATACGTATAAGGTATGTATCATATATGCAACTAGAATGTACACCTTTTCAGCCCCACATTGATTATTTAATGTGTTTTATAAAAGCTTTTCACTAGAACCTAAATAAACGTCCGTAAACCAAATAAAAAATTATTTCAGAGGGAAACAAGTAACAGGCCAAAACTGTATGCTAGAATGATCTCAGGGGTTAATCGTCACATTTATTTTTATAGCAGGTATATCAAGTATAAACAAATCCCATTCCAAAATAGTAACTGATCAAAGTGGGGTTCACATTGGGTTCTGCACACCCTTATCTGTATAGTTTGCGTAGGTTCTGTGCACTGGCATACTCTGCAAGACAGGCCTTGTTATGAAATACAGCTGTGATTGTCACTCTAATCCCAAAACCCACCCATGCTTTCATGGATGACAGCACACAGCTGTCTTCCCGATGGGTGAAGTTCAGCTCCATGCCGAAGGTCAGCAAACAGAAGCTTCTTAAGCCCCCAACTCTAATGCAGTCCTTCAAAATGGGGATTAAAAGCAAGGCATCTGGTGCAGGGTCTTTCTTGAGGAACCAGAGTCTCCGACCCGTATCACTTTCCTGTGTAGATGTGAATTTCACCCATTAGAAACAGTAAGAGAAGATAAGGTGCTGGATATCCTCTAGTTCCACTAAACGTTAAGGGCACTCAGCACTGTTTACGGTTTGTGCTACTGGACTCCACCAGACCTAAGTGGAAGACGAATATACATGCCAGTGTAAGCAGGCAGAGGAAATGGCAGCACTGAAGGAAGAGAGTTTAAAAATACGCCACCAGGTGGGAGTATTGCACAAACATTCGTGCAGAATACAGTTTCAGTAATTGTTAGCCATGACTGGTCTGGATTATAATCAGGATTCAAGTTTATTTCTGTATCTTTTTTTATTCTCAACGACAGGTACACAAACAGCCTGAAGCAGGCTACTATCACTATAAAACTCTCCAGAATTATTTTATTGTTCCGTTAGGTATTGACATCTATGCTTTTTAGGTTCTCGGCTGCAGGAGGCCCATTTTTGCTAGTCAAATATTCAGGCTCACCAAAAGCCGTGAGGAAGGACTAGCAGATTTTTAGTGTTTCAGTTCTGTTGGGAAACTAACTGTCAGTTCAGCAACTGACAAGTGGTGTAGCATGATGTGGCTTGACAGCACTTTTCCTTGTATATTTGTGAGTGAAAATGCTTTCAGTGAAATTTTATTTCTATTTTTATATTTTTAGTACTGTATGAATATTAAGCACTACACATTATACTTCTGTGCTTGCTTGCTTATTGAATAAAAGATGTGTTCCATGCATTGTGGTTTGCTCATTTTCTAGACCTCCTACTCAGGCCAGGTAGTCTTCGTACAAGACGGAGATCCTCTCCGCTACCCACACCTCCTAACTTAAGACAGAAGAACCACAGAAAGATGGCATCAACTCAAACCACCATCTGACCCAATGAGCTGTCTCTGCCCACGGCCCGTAACGAATGCCTGGGCAAGAGTACAAGAGAGAGCACGGGACTCTGTGGGCATCTTTGTGTTGAATAGCCCTCCACAGGGTTTTCTTCCCCTCACACTGGTATTGACAGGATCCCATGGCAATGAGTTCTTCATCTAAATACACACTGTATGAAAAAGGACTCGTTTGCTTAGAGACTGCCACCAGATAGTGTCATTTGGTGTTCCTTTGTTCTTGCATTATGACAGATGATACACGGTCACTGTTCAATCCACGCAAGATTTTACACACTTTTATCTTGCACCTCTCGGGCAACTCCGTGCTGAGGAGTCCTACTAGTCTCTGTCATACAGGAGACCAAAACCCACGAACTACAACAAGCTGCAAGAAGATGGGAGTAGGAGAATTCCTTCTTGCTACAGAGGAAGACAAAATCTCCCCACAGTTCCTGCAGATTAGAGTCAGAAGAAAATTTCATTAGCACCAAAAATCGACTTAAGTCACTTAATCCCGAGTACGTATGAGTAACACATCCTTACTGGCTGCCTAAAAGGCTTCTCGCATTTCTGAAGACGCCAGGGAATCCTACTCTGGTTCCCAGGCATAGCCTGTCTCCTTTGCTACAGAAGATGACCACCCCCCTGCCCCCAAAGCCAAAAATGTTCTAAGGCCACATTTTTAACAGCCAGGTGTATGCACACGCCATTGCCAAACTGAGCCTGTGCACAGGGCCACCAGCTACCAGGCTGGAGGGGGAACAGCTAGTTTGGCCAAAAAACCATTTCCTTATTGTAGAGAGTAATAGCCTCCGCGACAATCTATTGTGCACATACTGCTATGCTGGTGCCCCTTTGTTTTAGACAACAAAGTTGCTGTGTGGCAGGAATCTGCTTTCTAGGACCAGAAAGACTGTCCTCAGCCAGAGCTATTCTTTCCTACCCCTTGACTCCGTTGCCTTCTGTGCTATTAGGTGAAATTCATCCAAGAGTCGAAAGTCTGGTCAAAGCCCGTTCCCACATAAGCCATGCCGAAATTCTACCTTTGGATCTCTGGTCCTTGAAAGCATTTCAGTCTTTCTCTTAAAATCCGTAGGTAGTAAGCTCCTCCCTATTTTGACAACTTGAACTTTCAGGACTCGGCCAAATGTCACCATGACTCTCTCTATCCAAACCCCTTGGCCAAGTGCCCTGAATTGTCTCTGGAGAGAATGCCTCGTTGATAACAAATGCACTGCCAATAAAGAACAACAATACCAGAAAACCAAAAGAATGATTTTTTTCTCCCCTCAGTGTTCAGATTTGGTAAGCTGCTTCTTGCTGAGGTAACTGCCACAACGTTAGCGCGCTAGCGAGATTCATCATAGTTATGCAGCGGGTAGCCCATGTAGTGACACAAATCTGCAAGACACGGGGAGGATTTGGATGGCTTCATTGCAATGGTAGTTCAGATCGCCAACAGGCAACCCCGTTTCCTGTAAGGCGCCGAGTCCCCTCAATGTTAGTTCAAACCAGCCATCGTTGGGCACATACCTTCATGGATATACCAAATATACCACCTCACTGGATCAATCTATGGCTAAGCAGGTGCACATCAAGCAGTACTCGAAAGGCCTTAGCCGTATGGCCCCCAGAAAGCCCCGGGGCTGTGCTGAGCACCGCCGTGGCTCCTGGCTATCCACCAGCTTCAGTCGGTGGGGTGCCTCAAATGCCAGCAGCATTAAGTGGCTTGCCTCAGTAAGAGCCCTCCAAAGCGTTAACATGAAGGAACTGAGGGGGAACTAAGCTAGGTAAGAAATTTTTGCACGGTTTTGTATGTAAAAGGTTTAAGTGTTCATTGCAGTGAAGTTGGGCAGTAAAGAGGAAAGACGAGAAAGCTAATGAGTAACCATTAAAGATTCTCAGCACTTTTGTATAAGCATCACCACACAACATGGCACCAATAGTTCTGGCAATAATTATAAAGATTTATAGGCTTGAGTCACCGTTATTATAAGCCATTCAGTCTTGCCTGGGCTATAAATAACGCCACTCAGTAGCTACCAGCAAGGGTTTAGAGGGAGGATTAAAGAACAGCGTTTGCCTCTCCAGACAAAAGAAAAAGGCTAAACAGAGATTCAGCTGAATCAAATAATATTAACAAAAAAATCCCAAACCCAGTGACCATACTCGTGGGAAGGACACAGTACAGAAATGATGATATCTAATCTCACTGCATACTTCTCAGCTGCCGGTGTGCTCACTACATAATCCATTTGATTTCTTTACCGCAGGATCTGCAGACTGGTGTCCTCTAGTGTTTGAATTATAAAATGTATGCAGATGAGTATTTTCTGCTACCTGTCATGGTGTCTATCACACAGATGGAACAGAAATAATTGCAACCAATAATCAGCTTCATTCTGGCAATGGAAAGGGAGTCTGCAAAAAGGAACACATTCATTTAAAAATAAAACTTACCCAGATTTCGGCATAATGAGGTTTAGACCTCAAGTACCAAGTCATACTCCAGTAAAACCCGCTGTTTCTATCTTCAGGGAGTGGCAAGGAAGTCAACAACACTGATGCCACTCTGTCCTGGTCTATCTGCATAGAAATCACCCCTCTAAAAGACGGGAGAGCGATGGCAAATTCTGCAGGCAGACTGGAACAACGCCTCTTTCCAGATCTCAGGCTGGATGTATGTGCATCTTAGGTGCATGTAACATCCAGTGTCCTTCTGAAGATGTCTGAGCTGTGTGGTCTTTAAAAATGAATGTCAGAAATGTTTACAAAAATGCAGGGCAGTTTTCTGCACTTTAGGACCCCAACATGTGGGGATTACTATTAGCAGCGTGGGACTCCTTACCGTAAACCGGTTTTAGAAAGAGCGAAGCTGTTTACACCAATCGAATAGAGAAAGGAGAAGCCTTTGTACTCCCTGCTAACACAGTAACCTAAATGAGGTTCCTTTGGTAAGCTGTGCTGTGCCAGTATCATTTTTCTGGATTTTGCCACCTCGTTAATGATTAAAATTGTAAAGCCACGCAACAACTTTTGCTGGACTTCTCACTGTGCACAGATGACAAGCCCTGGCAATGCACGCTAGAGTAGTTTTAGAAGCTACCACCTCCAGCTGTCCA